AACTATTTCTATAACCGTATTTCTTGAAGCATTTTGTATGACAGGTCACAACAACTGTGAGATAAAAGCAGATTGTAAACTCCAAAACAAGGTTCAAATAGCACCACTTACTGCTTTACCCTACTGCATGTATCCCCCATGGCATTTTTGTTCAAAGCGTGAGATAACTCCATCTGCTTATTGTGAGCATATGGACCGTTTCTATCTGTTTATACAAAAGGTTACACATGCTATACTTTTTAAAGGCCCCTAATACATCTTCAAGCCAACACAAGCTAAAAGCAAAATTTTTCTAAATTTTTATTGTAAGTCTTCTACTATCCTGGGCATATATACACTCACTCCATACTACCTTTTCTGTTGTTCTGTTTTGTGCGCACAAGTGTGTGTGTGTGTGTGTGTGTGTGTGTGTGTGTTCTATGAGTCTCCGTCACCCACCGTATGTTATATAGGTTCTCTGTCCTCCCCATGAGTACTGGAGTATCAGATACTTGGTGTTAAATGGTTGTTGGTTCAGTAAATGAATCAAGCTTTTCAATAAGAATCCTAGTGCTGGGTTGTATGTATTTGTTTGTATCTTTCCATCCTGACTGCAGTTTCCCCTCCCTCCTCTCCTCCCAGCCTGACCCACTCCCATGACAGTTTGTGTTTAAAACACGGGGTCCTTACTACTCCACCTCCTCTTCACACTGAACACTTTTAAGCCTGGTTGCTTGTGATTCGGTTTATCAGTGGTCTCCAGCTACCCACTTAAGTAGAGTTTTTAAAAATATCAGTCTAATACATGCTTATTGAAAAATAAGCAGTACTGAATGTATATGCCTGGAGTACAAAGAACATGGGTCCCCCAATAACCCATGGACTGTTCCCTTCTCAATTTAGCGTCTACTAGTTATTCCTGGAGTCTGCCATGGAAATTCAGATCACCCTTCCTTACAGTAGCACCTCCGATAAATGAGCAGAGACCTTTACTCCTCTCTCCCCGGCATGCTCTGCTCTCCCAGCACTGTTAACAACACTAAACTTTGTGAAAGAAGCATATGCCTTCAGAACTAGTAAATAGTCAAGTATGTGGATGCCATGTTCAGGCAGAAAAGGAATTACTATGGTGGCCATCTGTCCACATTAAGCACTGTTGCCCCAACTCTTGGGTCACTTGACCCTTGGATAGTCTCTGTCAGCTGACTAAAGGTACCATGCCCTGGAATCACTTGCTTTTTCATGACAACAGGCTTTCTTCCAAGCTGTTCTTTGGAATTGTGAACTTGCTAGTTGATATAGATGGTGAAAAGCTGGCAGACACATGTTTTACAATCTGGATGAGAGAGCAGGGAGCCTGTAACAACTAGGTATAGAGCATGCTAAGGGCTGCCTGCTGCCCCACCCCCACCCCCAAACACACACAGCATGCTCTCAACAGCAACCTCTGCAGGCCACAAGAACCTCTCTAGGAAGGGTTCAAAGAAAGCGAGGATTGCCCTTCTGTAGGTTCAGAGGACTTGAACTTCAATTGTGGTGTGGATAGAATGTTTCTTTATGAAAAGGATCAGTCGTGTGTCCCAGAGAGGGAAAGGCCAGGCCAACCAACCCTATGAGAGAATAGTGGTCACAGAATCAGTGGTCACTTTCACAGCGGTGCCATGCTGTCTAGAAGTAACGAAACTTCCAGATGAAAGAGGTCTCACCTTAAAGTATTTTTAGTCATGTGTCACAGCATGACGATGTTGTAAGAGCCACCTGGTCCAAAACACCCATGGCTGAGATGTGGCAGAGGCAGAGCTAGTGGCTTCCCACAGATGATAGTCACCTCTTCGGCAGAGCAGCTCTAATTGCTCCCCAGTGGTAGCATTGTCATAGCCCAACAATGCGCCTTTGCCCATGAGCACATGGGCCCAATGGCTGGCACTGACATGGTCCCTCAAGTGCCACTGTCCTCAGTTCTGAGTCAGCCTCATTGTTCAGAGCTCAAGGAATGAGGCTTGTGTCCAGATAGGAGACAATATGTACTATGTACTTGTCAGCAGTATTGTGGGTCAGCATGATGTCAAAAGTTCTCTGCAGTGGTTTTCCCCAGGCTGTAATACTCAACCCAGTGAATAACTGTTTACCCCCAGCTCAAATGCCAACAAAATGTCTGCGCTTTCAGACAACACAGACTAAGAGCAACAAAACCATTCCCAACTCAAAGCAACCCTCACAACATTGGCTAGAGATGGCCACATGTCTTCCATGTCGATAAGTGTCCCCAAACCATTGTGCTAAATATTTAACAGCTGAGGAAGTAAGTTTAATTGTTAACAGTTAGAAATTAGGAATAAACTACAGATGCTTCCAAGATTAGAAAGATTGGTTTGGATTTGCTCTGACAACTTGCAGTCAGTCTGGTGGCCAAGTATAGTAGAGAAACATCTCAGGGTCACCTGGGTGTATGTATGATGGGCTGAATATGATGGGAAGATTATCTTTTATAAAATATTCTTTTACAGAAAAGCCCTAGATCTATCCAGTGTGTTTTGAAGGGTACCACATGTTTCCTTGCTTTAGAATGAACAAAAGTCATCAATAGCTCTCCCTATTGGTTTATGATGAGAAGAAATGATAGAATATACTGCGTTTTGTGCCACAAAGGTGATTTCTTCCCAGGATGTTAAAAACAAGCAAACAATCCAGTCATTTGAAAATCAGATCGGTGTGTTGTATCTACCTCGGGCTTTGGGCTGCAAGTAATAGGAAGGGGATTTCCAGTTGGCTTATGCAATACAGACTTAGTCCTAAACGCAAGAAGTCTGAGCCAGGGTAATTGAAGCTTGATTTTGTTCACCAAATCAGCCATGCCCAGAGCCACTGTTTTACTAGCCTAGGTTGACTTTGTTCTCAGGGCTGCAAAGTGCCTGCTGCATTTTCAAACATTTCCTGTTAGCAAAGAAACCTCATCTCAACCCGAAGCAGACCCCTCATGTTACATTGGCTAGAATTGGCCAAATGTGTAGCCTAATCAGTCTCGATTAAGAGAAACAGGGCTTCTAAAACTGGGTTAGACACTCAAGATTGCTCTTAAACTACAGATAAGGTGTTTGATTCTCTTAGAAAAAGCTATTGGAACATCCTGAACAAAGGACTCTTAACAGACAGCCCACCATTGGATGGTTTCAACTTCTCCAAATTAAGGTTATACGTCTTAGAAACCATCAACTAGTGAAGCAAGGGCGAAGGATAAAGGTATGAAAGTTATGAAAATCTCCGTTATCCAACTTGACCAATGAAATGCAAATTTCATTGGCCTGTATGCAAATTTGGCCTGTAAGTCTGACTGTAAATATGGAGGCATCCCCATCAGGCAATGAAGCTCTTTGAGATTTCAAAGGAACAGGAGCCAGCCTTGGGATGAACACAAACAAACTCCCAGTGGGAAGAGGATGCAAAGAGTCCTGAGGAGAGAACAGGAAGTCCCCAATAGTGCTGGCAAGAACATCAGTAGGTGGAGGTTAGCAATAAAGATGCCCTGCAGGGCTACATTCCTGGTGAAGACTGGGCAGGGGTTCTAGGTGCAGAGAGCCACTGATGGAGTAATTGGATAAGTAACCAAAAAAGTGACAGTATGTATTGAAATTGGGGACACTACACTTAGAGATGCTGCTTAGAGCCTTAGCTTAGACAGACATACACATGAGGGGTTCACCCACAATGGAACCTCCTTGCTCCAATTGTCAAGTCCTTTCATGTTTCCCGTTACAATATTAAATCATCATGTTCCAAAAATGTTTCTGTTTCCTAATCAGGTTCGAGTTTAAAGGGGTTTTCATTTGTTTTCTGTTTATATTGTCAAAAACCTTTCCCCTTTTGACAGCTGTGGAACGTCTATGAATATGAGAAGGCAAGCATACCGAAGAACAGTGTTGGTAGTTGGCATACACAGTTGGGTGAATACTTATCTCTCCTAGAGTGGGTGGAATTACTAGAAGGGTTGGTAGTGAAGGTAAACCTAGAAGGCACTCCTCCTGATGTGATGAGAAAGATGATCACAGAGCAGGAAGTGGCCAGGACCAACGACTTGGATCCTGCTGCAGGAGCCAAAGCATCTGGTCCAGATGTGGAGGGTGAGTTGTTAGCTTAAAGACACTAACAGACTTCAGGGATGAGAGCCAACAGGACTTGGAAAATGACTGGATAGATAGCACTGAGGCAACGCCAAGGACATAGAGCTATTCTGTCTCCTGTCCGTGAAATAGTCCCCAAGCGGAAACTAGACGGTTACTCATAAGATCCTGGTGTGGCCTGAGTCTTATTTTCCATGACCTCATTCTGGAACAATGATGAAAAGCAAATGATCTTCAAAACAGAGTCGCTAGAGTTGTATTTGCTCCTTTACAGGGCACTTGAAAGGACAGCCAGGGTCCAGGTATTGGTGGCTCACGCCTTTAATCCCAACACTCGGGAGACAGAGACAGGAGGATCTCTGTGAATTTGAGGCCAGTCTGGTCTACAGAGTGAGTTCCAGGACAGGCTCTAAAACAATACAGAGAAACCCTGTCTCTAAAAACCAAAAAAAGAAAAAGGGCACCCAGGTAACTGGGTAGTAGGAGCCTGCTTGACCTACTTTTGCCAGTGGCCAACTGCTCTTCTAAGTATGGTTGCAAAGGTTACTTTCAAATTGCTATGAGAAAGAAGGAACAAGGGAGGACGGGTTTATTTTGACTGACACTTTAAGGAGGGATGCAGGAGGAACATTAGGGAGCTGGTACCATTCCATCACAGTCAGGTGGCACAGAGACAACAGGAAGTGTGGCCAGGCCACCTCCAGTGATGCACTTTCTCTAGTAAGAGAGGCTTTACCTCATGAAGTTTCCAGAACCTTCCAGAACAGGCCACCAGCTGGGGACCAGGCATTCAAACAAATGAACCTATGGGGACATTTCTCACTCACACCATAACAGGTTAATGTCATCAGTGAAATTGCTGCCCTAACTGTTGTTTCTCTTTCTTTCTTTTCCTAATGGAAGTATATTCGGTGCTCTTCGAACTGGTGCTTACATGGTGTACATTTTGATGACCAAAGGCCTGAAGCAGTCAGTTTGTGACCAGGGTTTTTACATTGGACCTGTCAGCAAATTCTGGGCTTATGCATTTGTACTCAGCAAAGCACCCGAACTAGGTGAGTGTCTCCCCCTCCCCCGCCCCCTGTGGCAGCCTCACATACTCAGGGCTTACTAAGAATGAATAAAGAAACACTCAGTGTGTAGGACTGTCTTTGCTAGCCACTGAAAAGCTAGAATGCGTGAACTTGGAAGATTTTGACTGACTGTCCCACCCCCACCCTCACCCCCACCCCCCACCCCCACTCCCTCCTTTTTAAGTAACTATATTATGTATATTGACAGAAAACACGTTTTCCATTTCCTAGCACTAACTAAAAATAAGCCACTCTCAGGGATTTATAAAACACTACACGGCCTCCTTTCTAAGGTCCATTACAGCAGAGCTAATATTAAAATAGGAGAAAAAAAATAAACAACAGCAATTTCCAAGTCACGGAGATAAGCAGACATTCATCTCTGGAGTTAGGGTCCAGTTTGGGAAATTAAGCTTCACTTCTGAGGTTCATATTCTCATTAACAAATGCTAACAGTTGAGTTCTGCTGTTTGAGTTTCTTCATCCCCATGTCTGGCCCCGGAGAAAGGGAATATAGGGCACCTGCCAGAAATTTGTGGAAATTCTTGCTTGGCCATGCATTTCTTTGCTCTTTTTTGGTGCTCCTGAAGGTAAGGGTGGCATAGGCTTGCAGAAGCATGGGCAGTGGCAAGGACTTGGTATGGGCACAGTTCTCTGGGAACGTGTTCTTATTGCCAGAGTAAGGGATCCATTGGTAAGAGTGGGCTCTGAGTGAATCTTCGAGTAACAGCCATGACCCCAAAAACTCCTATATATGCTTGAGGAAGACAGGTCACCTTCTCTGAGATTCCTAATATTTCTAACCTAGGATTAATAACTATATGGCCTTAGTTCAAACATCTGAATTGTGGAGTTAAATGGCACATTTGTTCATTGTTTAATCTTCCTTAAAAATATGTGATAGATCCTGGTGGTGGTATCCCATGCCTTTAGTCCCAGCAGAGACAGGCAGATTTTTTTGAGTTTAATGCCAGCCTGGTCTACAGAGTGAGTTCTAGAATAATAGCCAGGGCTACACAGAGAAACCCTATCTTGGGAAAAACAAGACAGGGATGACAAGTTGGTAGGTTCATCACAGGACTTCTACAGCCTGTTTGAGTTCATGGTCACATGGCCATGAGTTCTCCCCAGTATGTTAGGGAGAGGCTGAGCCATTAACCACAATGTCCTGTTAAGTCCGCTGCCTGCAAGTAACTGGCAGTGGGATTGATGGTTGTCTTCCTATGTCAGGGCCTAAGGAAGAGTCGCAAAAACTCTACAAACCTTTCTGTGAGGATCAAAACCCAGGACTCTACATGATCCAGAATGAACGGTCTGTGTCCACAAGGCAGGCACATACACACATAGCACCATAAACATAAATTCAGAATAAAATGCATTAATATAGATTTAGTTTGTCAGTCAATGGATTTATATGATAAGTACCTATCATTAGAATGCAAAGCTACTTGACACAGAATTTTACAATATGAAGACTACAGACCAGGCCCCAGGAAATTTTGTGTGGGTGTGTGTATGTACACATTTGGGTGTGTGAATGAAGGCAGGTATGTATATACATGCCATGGGAGGGTAGAGGACAACCTTGGGTGTTGATCCCTTCCCATTTGAGAGAGGATCTCTGTTGTTTTTCTAGTGTGCACACCATGTTAATTGCTCCCCAGGCTTGTCTCCATCTCTTCCCTTAGATGGTCAGTCAACACATCCAGCTTTTTCATGAGTTCTCAGGATTCAGACTTAGGTCCGCACAATTCTTGTTGAATTTGCTTACCTAGACTAACATATAGAAACTCTTTCCTAATGAAGACTGCCACTTCTCTGATGGTAACACATTCTCCATACAGTTCCAGATTCTTCATAGGAGTATATTAAGATCTGACAACGCTCTCTCTCTCTTAATTAAAAAATATGGAACAATGTCTCCAAATCCTCCACAGCTTGTGTAACAGTGTCCTTGAAGGGGTCAGCTGCTGAGTGTCACAGGTCTAAAAATCCAAACTGTTGTCCCCAAAACCAACCTTGTCACTTATTTAAAGTGTGTGTGCCTGTGAGTTTTGAAGGTTAAATTAACTTGTAATCTTTTGCAATTAGGGAGTCTTGTCATTATCATTTGTTTAAGAAAGATACATTAGAATTACTTAGAAGTTATCTTTAGGTCCTACCTTCTACCTTTCTATGTTCAAAGATTTATGGAATCCTTTATGAATACCAAAGAGAAAGATCATGTGGGCAACAAACCCCCCACACACACACACACACACACACACACACACACACACACACACACACACCCCATATAGTACAACAGTGAAACTATTTACAGTCCCCCCAAAAGCATACACCTATAGTTTTCACCACTCTCTTCCTTTCCCCTGGCGGTTAAATAGGCCTAATATTCAAATTGTGATGCAGCCATCACGCCATCCATTTCTGGAACTTTTCTATCTCCCCCAGCTGAAACTGTGCTCACTCACCACTGACTTTGCTTCACTAAACTCTTAATGATGGCAATAAGGGCTCTCTGTTTCAGCAGAAATGGTGAACTCAATGGATTTAAAGGACTCCACTCTACTGGAACAAGTGAGAGCAAGAGAGCTGCCCCTCTATATTTTATGTGCCAAATTGCCAGTGCCTACGGTTTGAATTCTATTAAAATCTGCTGAAATTTGCTTTTGTTAAGACTTGGAAACATCTGCTCTGTGTCTAGGCCCTTGCTCAGTTGAGCTTGTCATTGTTCCGAGGCCCTGACTCAGCAGCATGGCAGCTAACTCTGCTAAGAGGAGCTCAGCCATCTGTGACAAGCCACACACACACAGAGTTGGCTCAACCTGTCTTTTGGTGGCTGTGATTACCCTGGAAAGAGAAGTGCTGATTGACTTCTCCATAGGCACACAGAGATCTTGGGTGCAAGAAACACCATGTCTTGCTAGCTGTCTCTTGGTTGAAAATAACTGGGCCAAGGGTTTTAGGAGTCACCGAAAACAGGAACATGAGTCAGAGCATAACAAAGCAGACACCTTCAAGAGCTCAAAGTGCTCTCACTTATAGTTGGCTAGCACCAGTTCCATAAATACCAAGGGATGTTTGCTCAAGAAGATTGGCTGGCCAGCATCAATAACATCACAGCCCTTGTGGTAGCATAATCCTCCATAGCTTCTGCCACACCTACAAATTTCATGATTCCTCATGACTTGGGAAGGTGGGGAAAGATGATGATGGACACAAGGAACCATATTTGCATCAGAAAGCATGGCTATGTCACTGTATGGCGGTAGCAAAGGCCATGGAGGTCAAGCTCTTCTGTAACCCAACTATAGTATTTTATGGGAAACCACCATTTCTGGGGACAATAACCTTGATATGGCCCTAAGGAGAGCTGTCCTCTACTCTCCTGAACATGAGTTCTGAAAAAGACTCAGTGTAAATTCAGGTGGATTTTGTTTTCTAGATTTCATGACAGATTGGTCTCCCTCCCTCACCTTTCCCCCACCCCCCAAGTAGCTAGACCTCCCGAGACACTTGAACATAACACACCCCCTGTCCAGACAGAGGAAAGCACAGAGTACTTCAGTACCACGGGTCCTGCTTCCACTCCCACACTGTCTGTCTTAGTAGACAAGATGGTCCTGGTAAGAGTGATGGCAGAATGACAGCTGAAGAGTTTAAATAGGATGAAGTGCTTATTACTGTATGGCAGATTGCTCTCATTACAGTTGGATATTGTGTCGGGGATATTTTTTTTGAATGTTAAGAGACTCATTAAAAAATCTCTATTAGGACTGTCTAAATTTGTTTGGAACATGAAATTCCTTAGACTTCTCCCTTCTTTTCACTACTAACAAAGGTAGGCTAGAATGCTTTTGTCTTACAATATAGTCCAAAGAGGGAAGGAAGGCACAGAGCAGTAATTACACAGAAATGGTGACTCTGACAGGCAGGGCAAAATAGTCTAGTTTAATACAAAGTAGAATTTGGCCCTTAAGTATACACCTGAGAGTGACCATCGCCATCTGTCATTTCAGCCTGCCCGACATTTATAGGTATAATAAAACCCAGCATCTCACAAGAGAGCAGAAGATTTCAATGGGAGTTTCATAATAGATCTAGAAATGTTGCCACTGGCAACTTTGCTTTCTGTTCTAAACAAATATGAAGTAGCTGTGTTTAATAATTCAGTAGGGAAATAAAGTAATAGCTCCTAGTAAATGTAACGGGACACTACCTGTAGTAGCGCAACCGCAGCCATCAGAACTTTGCAAGGCCCAGCATTACTTGGCCTTGTCAGTACCAGGAACTCTAGACCATCCACCAAGTACATGAGGGCTGATACTTGGCTGTGTGCTTGTTCTATTTGTCTGTGATGAAATCTCAGGATAGAACAATTTCCAGTTCCTGTTGGCATTAAAACAGTAGTCACATTTGTGAAAGATTTTTTAAGTGTGTTGTACATGTGCACATTCATGTTGATGTATGAGTGGGTGCAGAGGCATGTTCACGTGCTTGTTTGATCAGAAGTCAACTTCAGGGGTCTCTTTTTTTTTTTAAGATTTGTTTACTATTATGTATGCATGTATCTCTGTAGGCCAGAAGAGGGCACCAGACTACATTACAGATGGTTGTGAGCCACCATATGGTTGCTGGGAATTGAACTTGGGACCTCTGGAAGAACGAACGGGCAGTGCTCTTAACCCCTGAGTCATGTCTCCAGCCCCCAGGTGTCTTTTTCAACTCTCCACCTCATGTTTTGAGACAGGGTTTCCTGCTGAACCTGGAGCTTACCGATTCCGATAGGCCAGCCAGTGAGCTCCGGGACCAGCCTTCTTCCTCTTCCTCAGCTGGGATAACAGGCACCTACCAACAAGCCCAGCCTTTTAGAAAGGTGCTAGGGATCCAAACTCAAGTCTTCGTGCTTGTAAACAGTTTACCAATTGAGCCATTGCCCATCGTGAAGACAGTTTTGCCAAGTCGGATCACTACAGATTTGGGGCAGTGGAAGCAGTTTTTACCTGTGTGAATCTGTTACGACTCCCTTTTTTATCTAGTTTCCTCCCATAAATGTTTTTTGCAGTATATTTCTCAAAATCATGGCAGAGAACAGCTACCTACCTGAGTGTAGCTCTAGCTTTTATATAAATTACCTACCTCAAACGAATGTTTTGCTTTTCTTGATACCGTAGAGAGTTGTTACAGAAAAAGTTGACACATTCTGGACATAGTCTGTCATAAAAGTAAGTCTTGTTTTCAGGTTTTACTCCCTTGGTTCACTGAGATAAATGGTTGCCTTTATTCTCATCAGCAAACTGATGGAGACAATGGCTTTTGTTTCCATCTTACACAAAGTCCTATTTAGTTTGGTTTTTCTGGTTTCTGTTTTGGTTTGGTTTCACTTCTTGGTGGGACTGGAGATCAGACCCAGGGCCTTGCCAGTGTTAGGCTAAACTCTCGGTCACCACAGAGCTACGGACTCCCATCCTGAAGTGTGTGTTTTTCTCATTTACACGGACTCCACATTTTACAAAGAGTTGACAAGATACACTTTTTAAAAAAAACCGATATAATATAAGGTAGTTATGGTTTTACTCTCAAGAGATGCCTGAGAGCATCTTGTTGCGCACTTGAGTTTGCACTCCGGTCTGCTTCCTGGTCACACTTGGTCTGAGACCAGTCACCTATCCTCTTTTGGTCATGTTTCCACTCAGGGATGGTTGCTCTTGTCCATTTCAGGTCAGACGATAGTAAGGTTTTCTGTTGAATGTCTTGAGAAGTAGCCTGCTTGTTGAAGACTTCTATCCCACTCCTGAAGGAGCGAGCTTTGGGCCTCACGTAGCTTTGTTTCCATCTTTGTCTTCCAGGAGACACGATATTCATCATTCTGAGGAAGCAGAAGCTCATCTTCCTGCACTGGTACCACCACATCACTGTGCTGCTGTACTCTTGGTACTCCTACAAAGACATGGTGGCTGGGGGGGGCTGGTTCATGACTATGAACTATGGCGTGCATGCCGTCATGTACTCTTACTATGCCTTGCGGGCTGCGGGTTTCCGAGTCTCCCGGAAGTTTGCCATGTTCATCACCTTATCCCAGATCACTCAGATGATGATGGGCTGTGTCATTAACTACCTGGTCTTCAACTGGATGCAGCATGACAATGACCAGTGTTACTCCCACTTTCTGAACATCTTCTGGTCCTCACTCATGTACCTCAGCTACCTTGTGCTCTTCTGCCATTTCTTCTTTGAGGCCTACATCGGCAAAATGAAGAAGACAACGAAGGCTGAATAGTGTCAGAACTGAGGAGGAAGACATAGCTCAGGGTCATCACGAAAAATACTAGACAAATGAAAATGGCACAAGGAATCACATATGGTGCAGCTAAAACAAAACAAAACATATGTATGTGAGCAGACACAAAACCCGAGGCAGCTTGGGAATAATGATTAGTTTGACTTAACCCAGTAAGTTTATGATCCTTTTGGGTGAGGACTCACTGAGCGCATCTCCATCTCAAAGTACTGCTGCTGAGGGATCCCTCCCCTCTCACCTGTCAACTCTAGAACACACTTGATCCAAAGGGAGCCACAGGCAGAGAGATTAGTGGAAAACAAGCAAAACACTACGGGAAGAGAGGGAAAATCGATTCAGCGTTATTTTTCTCTAAGGATAAAGGAGTTCCCCTTTTCACACTATGCGAGCACACACACAGAGACACAATCCTTTCTATCTTTTCAACATGAAACCAGAGCTGGTAGAAAAGATAAACATGGAAGAGACACAGGGTTTCTATCTAGAACAGCAATGCTTTCGCAAAAATCAAGACCTTTTAAAGAGAGGTTAGCTTGTAGCCCCTTGACAAAAGATGTCTTAATTATTTTTACTGCAGCTGAAATTAAAAAGATAGATATTTTTCCCCTTCACTGCACAGCCTCAGGCTACTGAGTTTGCTACAACCAAACAGAGGACAGTACTTTCTCGTGATACTTTATTTCTGGGACAGTGCAAACAATGCATCCCAAATCCCAAGAAGGTAGTTCCACAGCAGACCTTGTAGTTGAAGCGTCACATTGACAACTGGTTATTTCTGCTCTTTGGTGAGATATGAAGCATTTGTTCGGTTGCCCCAGGCTTTAGGACAGAAGAGTAAATGCAGAATTGAAAGGATACAAGCTCAACCAGTTGACTTGAAAATGGAATCTTGTACTATCTGTAATGAAACTCAGCCAATCAGCACTGAGCTGGAAAAGGGGAAGGACCATGGAAAGAGACGAGCTGAAGATTGATCCAGGAGACAGACAACACATTCTCCTCCCCTCCTTGTTTGACTTCACGCATACTTCTGGCTTTCCAAATGAGGCCCATGACACAGTCCCATGCTTTCTATATTTCTGTGACTTTCAGAAACAGATCTGTGGGGCTCTGCCTGATTTGGGGTAAACACTGTGTTTCTGCATCCTTCTGCATTTGTTCCCTAAGCAGTGCAGAGGTGTGTGAAGTGCCCTCTGCTGGCCGAGTGAAGAACTTCAACAAACACTTCATAATAGGTTGAATATAATAGTTGAGCACAAAGGGCCTGTGTAGGTTAATCCCTAAGTTTTAAGTGCTGTCAAACACCTGACATACATTTGACCAAATCAGAAAAGAACCTATCTACTTCAAGTAAACTTCATCAATTTTTAAAGTGACTTTCACTTGGGAACTCGGAAAGTCAATGTATTAAGAGCCATATTTAAAAAGAAAGAGAAAAGAAAGAGAAAGCTAGACAATGTTATCTGTAATATTTCAGTCCTCTACAAGCCAAATAAATGTGTCGATGTTCCTAATATTTCAAAGATGCAATTATGTAAAGTTGTTCAATGTGATATAATAGTATTCTAATTGGTTAAGTAGCTTAATGATTAGGCAAACTAGATGAAACAATTAGAGGCTACTACACTGCGTAGATTTTACACTCATAACCACATTACGCACAGAAGGGTGAGGTACACAGAGCTGCAAAGCCCAAATGAATAGTAACACAATTTTTGGCTAGCAGAAACTTTCACTTAGCTTCCTTTACTTGAGACTGTACAGTAAAAGGGATTTTTTTCAAATTATTTTTATATTATTTTAGCTTTAATTGTGCTGTCATTCATGAAACAGCTGCGTAGCCTTTCTGTGAGATGGCATGGGTGTTTTCATCAGCTTGTTGATGTGTGGAATTAGAAAAGAATAAAATTTCATTCCATTCTGTGTGAATGGGTTAAACAGTGAACAAAGAATCCGCGTAGGTCAAGTCGTGACTGTAGGAGGAGGCTAATAGCCAAGCTGGACTGGGGGCATCTGTTGCACCCGTGTTAACATTGTGTGGTGGCTTCATGTTGACTGACAGATGAGATATGATTGGAAGGATGCATTGTTGTTAGGACAGAAGGTATAGAGCCACCTCGTCAAGTGGAGTCTTGGGATGTAATTGTTTGTGCTTTGTCAGTGCACAGTAGTGTACAGTAATAAGCCTTTCCCTTGCCTTATAGAACAAAGTGAGCAAAATAGTGAAAATGAAGAAGAGGCCACCTGTCGGCTGACTTGAATCTAATCAGGGCCAGCCTGAGGCTCATCTGGTTGATTCAGTTTAATTCAGATATTTATCATAGAATACATGTTACAATATGGAAACAAGCATAAACTTTAAAAAGACTAAGCTTTGCTTGCTGAGCTCTTTAATCTTCATGTTCGCTTCATGCTGTGTTCACTTATAAAATAACTTAGACTTTCTCATTTGCAGGATGAATATCTAATAAATAGTTTCTAAACCAGCTAAATATATCTAACATTTCCAGTGTTCATCATGGGAAGAAAAAGCCACATTTTTTTTTAAAAAAAAAAAAAAAACAGATTTATGATATAGGCTCAGCACACTGTTTTTAACAAACCAGCTTAGCTGCTTTAAGTCTTATCAAGATACGAGGCTGGACCACTGGCCTATGACACATCTGAAACCTGCCAGAGAATCGACTGCCACGTAGATAATATTGCTGTCAGTTAACATTCCGGGCAAGCCAGTTTTTTAGCTGCCCCACTATGCTGCAATAGATTATCTTTCTATTGAAGATTTCTCACTGCGTTCCAGTCCCAGTGTGGTTAAAAACATTATTCCTGGTTTAAATGCAAACAAATCTTGGTTTCATATAAATGTGGTTTCCTTCACTAGGTCTGAGCATCAACTCAAATGTGTGAGTTTGCAATGAAATTCTAGTGAGAAACATTTCATTCACAGTAGGAGATTTAATCTGGACCTTGTAGCGTCGCTTATGAGAAAAGAACAACTATAACTATTATTTATTGATCGTATTTATATCTGATGCTGGGCCCAAAGTATTGAATTAAAAATCACAGTTCTCAACGTTATTATTTCAGGCAGTCCCGTGTCATCCCCTCCATTCACCCCCACCCCAAATTTTTCTAATCCTACTTTACAACAGAAATTTGAGGCTAGAGGGAAAACACATGCATTGCTTCAGGAGGAAGCAGATTTGTTTTGTCTCTAGCAGTTTTCATCTGTATGATGAGACCTAGCTCATGCTGGAGCCTCATGTGGCAGAAAGTCTACAGGAGCCTAAAAGAACTCTTCCAGGGACGATACCCACAGATTGTTTTGTTGTTGTTTGTCTGTTTAAGGTCAATTATATCTTGGTGATGAGATCAATCCTGTCACATTAGAGTAAAAAGCACTATCACACTGGGGTAGAATGTTCCAGAAGTCTGGCTATATTCCCAATCTGCTCTGTTACCTAGGAATATCCGCTTACTATCTTGTTCTGATAGAAGGAGCTCTTACTCCACGAGAGTGCCAGGTACAGACACAAGTGAGCCCTAGCACATGCTGAGAGCCTTTTTCAGGGAGATGTAATGATCCTTGGACCAGCATGGGACTGCACAAGTCTCAAGCGAGTTCCTGGGAGAATGGAGTAGACCAAATTAGACTCCACCCCTGGAGTTCTGAGCTTTGAGTTGCAAGTGCAGGATCCTTTCTCTGGGAAAGGTGTCAGTCCTGGGGGGAGCCACAGTGGGTGAGAACATCATGATGATAGCCCAGAGCGTTCTAGCCTTCAAATGTGTGTCTTTTTTCCGATCTTTGTTTTGATAATAAATATTCTGCTATCAGTTTGGGACAATTGTAGAGCCTATGGTCGTGTGAATTATTGTCTTATACAGCTTGATGTTACTCTGTCCCTGTTCTTAGCTATAGCACCCATTTCCTGGTGCCTGAGGTCCCTGCCATCAGAAAGTGATTTGGGTGAGAATTCACAATATATGCTCTGTCACTTGTGCGCATTAAAGTGACACCTAATAAAACAAGGATGTCCTGCTTTTGTTCAGACACTCGATATGAATGAAGCTTTGCATCCTAGTTGGTCATTGAGCCAACATCCTCGGTACCTGATAGTGACACAAAATAGATGTTGGTGCCTAAACGGAATTCTCAGTGCCTGTTGAGACAGGCGAATGTCCGTAGGTAAATCCACGGCTGAAAGGACCAGTTAAAGTACACCCACTCAGAGTATCACAGGATACCCAGAAGCCTCTAGTATAACCCAGTACTCTTTTCATCCTCAGATACTCTGAAGAGTTAGAGTTCGATACCCAGACTTCATATTTCCTACGCTCTGAAATTTGTTTTGATGGATGCAACAGGGCCACCTGGGTGTTTGGGGGGGGGGCATGGAAACTACTTTGATTGCAGGTCAAACAAAGCCAAACTCAGATGCTTCTTTGTCACTCACCAGATGCCTACACCCACCCACAGAACAACTGCATTGTCAAGTTCTGGTGTAGCTTGCTAACTTGTCTCTCAGATCAAGATACGACCATATTTGTAACCCGGTTCAGACACATCAGAACAGGCCTTTCACTGGCACCTAAACAGTATTTTCCCAGTGCTTGGTGGTAGACAAAGATCAAGCTGTAACGTGACAGTGCCTCCAACTAGTGTGGATGTGATTTTTGAGTTAAGTATGGGTTTGAGTGTGATCGAGCTGGATGTCACTCCCTGCTACCCTGAAAATGGTTGGCTTTCTGCTTCCTAGGCCCTAAACCCATCTTCAGAGGGAAACTCGCTGTCAAGCCTCACAGCAAATCACAGCAATGTTGGAATTCTTATTTTCAAGTGCTTATTTCACAACATTTAAAAAAATATTTTTGGTGTATTGAGATTTAAAATAAAGTCATCATAACTTTTGATTTAAAGCTGTTTCTAGTTTTTGTTTTTAATCTCTGGTCTGGAGCAGTTCAAAGAAAGCATATAAGACACTATAGGCTAACCAGAATTCTCTAGAAAGTCATTCCTATAGCCATGTGTTGGTAGGATACCAAAGTGGCTGAAACTCTCCCTTGTGTCCCCTGACAGCCTAGCCATGGCATGCAAGGACTATGCACACATGGATGTCAGTTTTGCAAGGTGCCCAGCTCCTCTGGAAGGCCTTTTGTGGTTACGTCCTACACATGACATGGTTCTTTGTATAGTCTTAATGAGACAGATGAAACAGGCTCCCAGGACCACTGTGGTGGAAGTGGGAATGAAGTTAGAATCCCCTTAAACACTTAAGTTTTGCTATGGCCATTCATTCAATTGAAAAGTTGCATGTAGATGAACAAAAAAAATAATTTATTATATTCACTTCACTTGCAACTGAGCTTAACATGTCGAAAGGCAAAGTGTTTCATGGCAAGATACATTGGAGAAAACATTTAGAATGGGTAGCATGTCTTTAGTCATGCCTTAGAATGTCGAATGCCAAGTATTAGTGGGGCCGTCCAGGTCGGCCACTCTGACCCTATGATAATCTGACCTTGAAGTTTCAGTGGTCAAGCCACTGTGCATGCTTTGAAGTTCAGTGGTTCATGTCATTCTTCATGGCTCTTTGGAGCCTCGCTGGGAGGCATTTATGTTTATAACCCAAAAAGCTGATGTCTGTGGAGGTTTTCCACAGCCGGATGATGCTGTCGTAATTTCGAAAAGTGGTGCATGGAAGAAATACCATGCAACAGAGCTTGGATGAAAGGGCTTTCTGTTTGTTTTGTTCTATAGTAGAAAAGGGGGCGGGGAGGCCAGCCACTGGGGACAGGAGCTACAAGGGGGGTGGGCAGAGAAGCAGAGAGAAAAATAGGGAGGTGGGCAGGGCCCTTTTAAAAGGGAACCTAGTGAATGTGCACAGGTGGTGCTCTTAGTGGCTGCAGCTGAGGGCATGTCCTGACAGAGCCCCAAGGACAGACCAGTACAGATGCCTGGGTACTTATATGCCCCTTCACTTCTCTCTGAATGTTATCATTAAGATAGAATTTTACATTCCTGTTATCGTCTGATTGATGTATCTTCTTAATTCAGAGTTGATGGAGGAGAAACCCATACTGTATAAAGTATCAGTATCAAAAGGGGGGATGAATAAGAAACCTACTGTAAACTTCTCAGAGTTTCTATTCTGGTATCTCTTAAGGAACAGGTTTCAGAAATGAATACCAAGACCAAAAAGTCTACAAGCATGCACTACCACTGTCTACCTAAAAATACTGCAGTGGGTTTTTTTTTGGGGGGGGGGGCGGTTTCGAGACAGGGTTTCTCTGGGTGGCTTTGGAGCCTATCCTGGCACTCGCTCTGGAGACCAGGCTGGCCTCCAACTCACAGAGATCCACCTGCCTCTGCCTCCTGAGTGCTGGGATTAAAGGCGTGCACCACCACTGCTTGGCTTGAAATAGGTTTAATACTAAGAAGTATCATAAGCGGGCTTCCTATGAAAGAAAGAAGCCACAATGCCAATATTGCCATAGCTGGGGTGGCTTTGGATTGTGCTTCAGAACTTTAATTTGGTATTCTAAGCCAGTGGTCACAGTAGAAATCCTTTATCAATAATCAGATCAGTTAAAATAACCAAAATGGCTCCCCAGTGGCCTGTTGTGTCTGGTATCCTCAGGCATCATAGATGTATGTGTGCTGGAGTTTTGGGAATTTCTGAACGTCCCTGACACCAAATTGGCTAAGAAGGGGAGCGGGGAGGGAGGGAGGGCGGAAAAGAGGAGAAGAAGTTGGGGAGGAAGGAGGACAGAGAGAGAGAGAGAGAGAGAGCATTCCACAAAACCCAATAGAACACACAGAATTATTGACTTTGCCTCTCAGTCTGGATTTCCTGTAATATGCCTAAGGACTCAGAGAAACATGAGAGGTTACTGACCTGAATGCTACGCTAAGCACCCCATTTTGATTCCTTACTATCTCCTGAATCTTGAATGTTCTCCGAAAGTCCATCTATCAAAGCGGATCACCAGAGTGGAGTTATTTGGTGGCGGCCTTTAAAAGGCAGATGGTCTGAGGCCTGTGGGCTCTGCCCACTTCCTCTCTGTCATTCTCTGCCTCCTGTTCATGGGGTGAAAGGTTTGGACTGGATTGACTGTAGGTCTCTGCTGCCCCGTCCTAAAGCAGAGGGCCACCCAGTCACAGGTTACAATCTCCACAACTGCTGGACTATGCCTTCTTTCCCTCTAAATTGATCAGCTTGGGTGTCTTAATACAGCAAAACTGATTGATAGAGCCTTCTACATTTTTTAATAGCCTGTTACATTTTCTGCTTCCCACTGTCTTTTATCTAATGGCTGAAGTCTTTCTTACTATGATTTACAGAGCCCAGGTTTTGGTGGAAGGAATTCTAAGAGTTAAATCCCCGTGGCAGCCTCCCTGTGACTTGGGCCTGCCCTCTCACACCGGGATTCTGTAATATCTGGTATCTTCAGTCTTCCTGGGGTGGAAACCCTGGGCTGCACCCTGGGGCTTCACACACAGCTTCCTTTCTTCCTGACTACACTAATTCCTTTCATACTAGAGGGAGAACTCCCCCGCTCACCATGTTGCTTCTGCTATGTCTTATTTATGAGAACTCCAGTGGGTGTTTGAGGCAGCCAGTAGCTGGGAGGAGAAAGAAAACTTTGCCTGCATCCTCTGTGGCTCAGGGTGACACATGAGTTGCTGTAAAATGTTAGTGTTTTTGCAAAATGAACACTTGGGTGTCCAAGGGAGAAGCAATTCTGCCTTCAACTGAGTTTTCAAATAATAAAATCAACGGAACATAAAGAAATTGACTTTCCACACTGACTTAGGCAGCCTTGTCACATCTATTCACCTATATGCAGCCTTACTGGGAGCCACCAGCTTCTGAAGGACTTTTTTTTTTCCTGGATTGTGGTCCCACAGATACATCTAACATCTGCCATGTCTTTTGCATCTAACTCTAGAAATTGCCAAGAGGGAAGAGTGCTAGCCGTCTTGAAGTTGAGCAGGTGTCTTCCTGCAGTCCTTACCAAACCCATTATTGGATTTCTCTCATGGCCCTGGATATCTCTACAGGATCCAGTTCAGTGGCTACAAGGCAGCAGACATACCTCTCCCTCAGTCTCATCTTCCTTGGCTCTAAGATGCTGCTTTCCCCATGGTTAGTTGTGTGTGTGAAAAAGCTCCTTCCTTTACTCCAGTGCCAAACATGGGTCCAGAAGCCAGCGGATTGAGTGGGGGAGCCTCTGTTCCACTCTCCTACATGGGTCAAAGTTTCCCCTGAGTAGAGATCATGGACGTAGATTTTCCTCCCTGTGTGGATGAATGTCCTTAGCCCCATCCCGAGTGGACCCCCTGAAGTCATTATATCGGCTCCCTGAATCTGCCCAGATGTAGCTGAGACCCATGGAAATGGACTCCTTTTCTAGAAGCCCTAGTTCTCCCCCTCAGGTTACCTTTTCCATAGGTACAGATATTTCTGTGATTGAAAGAAAGGGAGAGGGGGAGGAAGGGAGGGAAGAGGGAGGAAGAGGAAAGAGAGTTGAAAGAAAGGGAGAGGGGGAGGAAGGGAGGGAAGAGGGAGGAAGAGGAGAGAGAGAGGAAGGAAGAAAGAAAAAGAAAGAAAGAAAGAAAGAAAGAAAGAAAGAAAGAAAGAAAGAAAGAAAGAAAGAAAGGAGAAAAAGGAGAAAGAGAAAGAATACACACATTATGGAGTGACAACATCCAAACTTTTCAGTGAGAATTTTTTTTTATTTTATTTTAACTAAAAGAGCAGGCTTGCTGGGCGGTGGTAGCACACGCCTTTAGTCCCAGCACTCAGAGGCAGAGGTAGGTGGATCTCTGTGAGTTCAAGGCCAACCTGG